GGATATCCATAATATATCACAACTTACGGCAATGCGATACCTAAACAGAATCTGGAAAGAACTGCCCTGTTCAATAATTGCCAATTGGTGGAGAAGCACTGGAATAATGGGAACAAACGCGGGCACTGAGAAGGCCGCAGCAGTCGCTACGGAGATATTTGAAGAATGCACCGAGCTTGACAATGTACTCGGGCGATTTGGTTCACCCGAGGGACAGAATGTCTGTACGTAATTTAGTGAATGCTGATGTCACGGACATATGGCAGGGCTTCGCGCATGATGATATGGTTGACTGTGTTGTCCAGGCTGTGGTCGAGCAAAGTGGTGGGGTCAGGGACCGATGTGGGTCTGATGATGATGAGGAGTCAGAGCCGGTTATCACCTGGCAAGCCCAACTGACTTATATTTCTATGCTGCTGCGTGCCAATGAGTCAAGAACTGACATTGACCTGGAAATACAGTGAATTCTCGCTATCTGAATCATTGTTATGTGAATATACGCGATACGTGCATGCCATTGCTCTGAACGAGCTTCGGAGCATTGATTGCAGGTCACATATGAGGTATTCATGAATAGGGCCTAACTGAATACTAAAATTATGTCTTAATCATAACTGGCCTCATACGACAGCATTCTATGAGACACAATTGAGTTAGGATAACTACATTTCTGCATCAATGTCGATCTATTTCCGCACTTTCCCGAGCAATCGAAAATTGACCCAGCCGCCGCTGCGAACCCCCCTGACAATATGCGCAAAACTGTATGATTGCGAAACAATACTGCGACTCGCCAGCATATCTCTCCACTGTTCTTGGCACAATCTTTAGACATTTGAGACCACACTCCCTATCCTTCCCTCATCACCTCACTTTGTCTATTCGATTTCCAATCCATTCGCCTCAGCACAGCGCCTGCAGACGTTAATGAACCAAAGCCTACCCCGCCACAGACGGACATTTTTACATTTCAGCAACGGATGGTTGCATAATTGTCAGCGCCGCTGTAATCTTCGTTCCCTTTCATCTCACGGTGAGTCTGGGGATGCCGATCATGCCTCCATCGATCGGAAGCTGCCTAAGCACCGTGCTGAGATAGCTCGGTTCGAGAAAGCTGACGTTTTCAACGCCGACGAGTTTGGGCATTTCTATAACTTGGCACCTGATCGTACAATTGCACATGATCGGTTGCCCCGGCTAAAGAAGCAAAAGGTTCGACTTACGTACCTCAGATGTTGCAATACTTCAGGCTCCGAGTGTTTGCCTCTAATGTGCATTGGCAAGGCGAGAAAACCAAGCTGTTTTAAAAACAAACTTGGCACACAGCTGGGGTTTGACTATTATAATAAATCCAAGCTTGGATGACTACGCCACTGTTTTTCGCCTGGCTGATGAGATTTTCGTCATACATCACCCGTACGGACCCAGACCATCGTGTTCTACTGTTGCGGGATAATTGCTCTGCCCATGGCAGTGAAGAACCCCTGCCGTCAATGGACAATGCAGAAGTGATTTATTTGCCTCCCAACACAACCTTTAAGCTGCAGCCACTCGATGATGCAGGAATCACAGCATCGGTTAAAACGAGGTATCGCAAGTATCAGTACGAAAGGGCTCTGGATTCTTCGAACGCCAGTGAGTCAAACATATGTAAGTTGGATCAGCTGACAGCAATGAAGGCGATGAGAAGAATTTGGGATGAACTGCCAGCTAGTGTGATAGAAAAGTGCTGGAATCATACCGCACTGGTGTCGGCTCAAGTTGTGAGGCAATCGGCAGAGGATGACGTAGAAGGAGTTTGGGATGCAGTGAGAGAGCTAGTGCCAGAGCTTGCGCGAATGTGTCTGGATTCAATTTTGAATTCGGCTGGTGAGAATGAAGTTGTCGAGATAGTCGAAGAAGCGACATTAGCAAACGTGGCTGTTCATAATTTGCTAAGAGCGGGCGAAGGTGAGGACACCGAAGAGGAGGATGTATCGTATCTGGATACATTGACGCTCGAAGAACGCCTCAGGAGTGTTGTTGTTGTTGTTCGCCGTTTGCTCGAAAATGAAGACTGTGTTGATCCGAGAGACATGAATTCCTTGCGCGCAGTGCAGCGAAGATTGAAGCTGCAACGCGCAAACAGTGCAAGGCAGACGCGCATTACACAGTATTTTAATTAGACATATTGGTAGAAATGACCCGATTTTGGGTTGTTACATATTTTGGCTGTATATGGAACATCCTTGGAAACTGAATATACACTTTAATTGAATGGGGAAGGAAGCAACCATCCATATTCAGATATCGAGGATTCACTGTACAACGTCATTTGCGTGCATTCCGCAGGGCGATTCAGCGTGAGCGTTCTGTAGGTTTACGGCAAGCCGTATTGACAGCTATTTCCGAAAAATAAAATTTTGTTCTGTAAATGGAATCCCTTCATACAAGGAATCCCTTCATACAAGGAATCCAAACAAGGCCACCGGCCAATTCCTTATATCAAGGGTTCACTGTATATCCAAAGTCGACTGTTGGTGCCATAGATGAGCTTTCGGGGGAAGGTGCGCTTGACTCTTTAAAGTGTCCAAATCGTTAAAGAAATGGTATGTTTTGTTTAAGTCCGTCCAGTTTAGTTTCGGAAACACAAAAGAATACTAGTTAGGGACCGAACGGTTATGTGTTGTAGTGCACTCTAACACGGAGTTGTCAGTACTAAAGTGACTCGCAGGAGTATCGAGATAATACAAAAGAACGGCATCACCGTGAAGTACCCTCGTAATGACTTGCCAGTGTTAATAATCGTCTCATCAGCACAAGAACTAAGTGTGTAGTCACTCTTTGGCCCACACGCGATACGAATTCCACGACAAAGACAACGACATGATCCCACCCACGGACTTGGCAGCACCCCAGATAGGGCAATGACATTAAGGCACCTCACATATCATCAGAATAATGCCTCCGGTGCCTCGCGTTCCTGAGAGGGGAGAGGGGCATTGGTGTTCTTAGTATTACGGAACTGAGTTTGACTATGACGTACACTCAAGACTCATATCCAATTCCCGTGCAGCACTCTAACAAATACACACGTATACATACCTTTGACATTCTCAAGATTGCTGTACGTACTATATGTTAACGTTTTTGCTTGCTCCAACCTGTCATCTTCTCCAATTACTGCTATCCTGCACCAAAATTTCAAAGCAACTTTCAGCCGAGATTACATTTCGTACCCTTCCATGATTGCATAATATGACCTATCCTTCTTCGTGGATATGATCGCCATGTAGGGTCATCGAGGGATCATTCAAATTTAATTAACCTCACGCTTTTCGGGTGACTCATGCATGACGGGCTTGCTTCTAACAAGAGACTACAGTTTTGCTTCTGACGCTTCTCCCGAGCTCGATTTACGGTGAGGAAAAATTACTTACATCAATGTCTCCATTTCATTCTGTATTCGATCTTCGAGTGAGACGGAAGCATAATTAGGGGCAGCTGGATTTCTACTATCGATACCGGCAAGTTGTCTTCCAGACTGACTCTTTCATTTTCCATATCCAGCTTCCGATATTATGTTACAGACTTTTGTGGTGTTTTGAATATTGACATATTTTTTCGATACTTCCTTCATACAATCTCATCGACGTTATCGAACTCAGTGAGCGCAGAGGTGAGATAAAACATGTGGTTGTGATTAAAACGACGTTCCCTTCTCAGAAGGCTCGTACAAATTTTCTCGAGGGTTCGAGCACTCGATATCGAGGCTGGAAAAATGCAATACTTGTGGCTGACGGATTGATGCCTCTACTGTCCCCGTCTTTCCCAGTCGTTTCCCGCGAGTGTCCGGAAGAAGAAGTTTTGCGCATTGTGCTTCCATCCTGATAATAGGACCGGCAACCAAGTAGGTCACAGCCATTAGGGCATCATTTGACTATCAGAATAAAGATGGCGACCCCCCCGGCGCCGGGTGGCGAAAGGGGGGCATCGGGTGATCCTGGAATCGCATGCATTGTGGAACCGCTTTCTTCTAAATTGTGGAAACCATGTCAACAGTTCAAAAATCTGACACCGAACGTAGTAGGAATTGATGGACTTCAATATACTTAAAACCATAAGGGGTCTGCCTATTTGTCGTCAAAATGAATAATTTTGTCGGGACCGCTTCTTTTAATATTCCTTCAATGAGCGGTATTTTTCCTCGGTATTGACATCTCGTATAGCACAGCGACACGAGTTTGAATGCATTGAGTGATCAATGAGCCAATAAGGTTGAAATTGCAAGGTAGATTCTTGAACTGAATACTGTACATGATTTCGAGAATATGAAAGAACCAAGAATTGAGGCACGCTCAAAAGTGTGTTGTAGCAGACCTCCGAGAAATGACCGGGGATCGCGGGCAGTCCACATTCGGACCTTATCTGCCTCAACGAAGACCTTAAGTCAGGCGTTGAGAGTACCGTCTTTATTCTTATCACGAAAATACAGGTTAAAATTACTGTTTGAAAATGGCGTCATTGTAGCTTGAGGGATCTCATCATGTGGGGCCATTTTCCGCCGAGGCTCTCGGTCTTGCTTGTTCCCCGAGGTACACTACAGGAGGTGAAGGCAGATTTTGTGATGCCTGTACTGTATGTACCATGTTTTTGTCGCACTTGAGACACCGCATGAGCGCATGTGTCGTGGGCGCCGCGCGCAACTTTCCGCACAAAAGCCGTACCCAGTAAATACAGTAGAGTGCTTGCACTGATCTCGATCCTTCTCCGTCACGAGAGTAATCCTCCTATTCCACCGCCAACTATTCATCGCGCGAGCAAAGTACAGCGAGCGGTGGCACATGTCATTCAAGAAGCTGGTTTTGCAGCGAAGGGCTATAACAGTTACATTGAAATCTCGTGTCGTGTACCTGGGGGACATTAAGAAGGCCATTCGATTGGACGAAAATTAAATCTTCAAGTGAAGACTGTGGGGGTTTGCCGGCAAGCAGTCCCTGCGACGCGCACAACATTTGCATATGTATAAATCCCCCATGTTGCCTCTGTACTTTACCACCACTTCGTTACCGCATGCACCCTGCCCTGCCCCATTGCACATGCCCCTCCATAAGCACCTCCACAGCTCTTTGCAAAACTCAACAATCAGCATGAAGACGCCTTTCACGCTCTTGTTCCTTACTTGTCTGCTGTCCATCTCAACGTCTGCGGCCATTCGCAGTGTCAACGAGCTGAACGCTCGCCAAGGCGTCTTGGATATTGACTTGTTCGACGATCCGGAAAGTCAACGCTTGGAAAGATGTATGCATTCTGTCTGCTTTCCCTTATACCCGCGAGCATTTTCAGACTTTTCTCCGACATACTAACGTCCGGCTGCCACGGGATTACTCCATCTTTTTATCTTACGTAGGCTTGAAAAGGCTTGCGGAACAGGGACCTGCAGGCGCACCCCCAACTTGCTGCTATCTTGAGAATTCCGACCAGCCCATTTGCGAAGGTGTTATTCTGTACTAGAAAGGTTTGACTCTGGGATTGAAGATTGCTTGTTGGGGGTTTCTTGCTTTCATCTCTTCTCTATGTGTCACACAACGCCTAATCCATCTTGCCTTCATATCTGCTCAATTTGCACAGGGCTTTGTATCTCCACCTTACCCAGAAGATACCGTTTCCAAACTTTGCTTCAATTTGGGCATAGATCCGACAGGTAGATATCTCAGCTATACCTAAGCATCATCACGACACTCTTTTTCAAAATTTTTGCGCAATGAAGTAACCAACGTTGATGCATGAATGCCTTCGTCTTGTAAAAGTTCATCCCAGCTGAAAAACATCTCAGTTAGGGAGAAGCTGAGAATATACGTACATGTCCATTTAAACTGTTTTCCTCGTAGCAGTGTTCCAAAAAAGTCATCCATTGAAGAGTTTGCAACGAATTTCAAAAAAACATTAGCACAGCACAGCTTATAGCTCAAGAGCTGGGAGATTTGTAAATCGCAATTGACAATATGGTTCATGATATCTCCATCATTGTGATAATGCACATCAACTCGCAGTGACGATTCATGATCCTCTCTAGCCCTGGGTGGGATGCCCCTTCCATTCGGGATTTGACTCAACCGCCACTTCAATCTTACCGAGTGCACGATGCATGATAGTAGCACGCTTCATAGGCTTACCACCCCACATATTTGATTTTTTTTCTTGCAGTCTTTGAAGGGATTCTCATCTTAGACGGAATGCATTTTAAAGGTCCATTGCCGCCTTTCTTTCACAATCATAATGCAGAGTTTTCTCATTATCACGAAGTGTGAAATATCCTTTTCCTTTGCGAGAACAACTCGTCAAACGTATCCCTATGCCGCAAGAATGTCTTGTGTGCACACAGACTAGTGTCGTCATACAAGTTTATTATTCAGGCAGTGCGAGATTGTAAACTTGTGCTGCATCCAGTGCGAGAACGGCATCACTTGATGCAGCCAAGGACGGCGAAAAATCGTGACTCTTGAGAGGCAAATTTGCCATAGTGAATTCGCAGTTCAGCAGAGTAGAGGAAAGAGTGGTGAGGGCATGAAAATCGAAGAGCAACGAACATATCGATAAGGCCGCCGAAGCCCCGGTTATGATATGAAAAAAACATGACAATTTGTTGCGAGCAGTTCATCCATTTGTTTACAAAATTTCTTTTTAGTACAAGGGGGGGGGGGGGGGGACGCGCAATAGTGCCGCTTTCATTATTGCCACCCTCCAATTAGTGCCGCCAAAACCGTCAGACACATGTTCTGCCACGTGTCATGCACGACGTCGTCATCGGCCACTCCTCATGCGCCTCAGCTTAATTGGTGACGTGATGGCACCTCACTCAAAGACCCTAACATGAATCCTGAAAAGATCGCCAAAGCGAAGCGTACGCGCCTTACGATTGCACAGAAAATCGAGGTTGCACATCTGCTGCAGGTCGGAAAGTTGGTCGAAATGAAACAGAAATTGATAAATCTATGGTGGATGGTATAGTAGGGTTTCTCTCCCGACTGAGCCTGGTGCCCGGGTAGTGATTCTGCTTTCTGATTGTGCCGCTCCGAATTAGTGCCGTATTATTAGTCCTTACACAGGGCGGCACTAATGCGTAGGGTCGACTGTATACAGTACAGTATGCTGACCTTCGTTGCGTGAAGGACCTCAAAGCTGTAGGAAAGACTCAAGACCTTAGTCATGTTTACTGAGGGAAGGAGCGATGACGGTGTTAAATACCGTGGAGGGGCTATGTACACGTGTAAGATACGACAGGGAGTGGAGGATAGTCGGTGGCAGCACCGAGCGTAAAAAAATTAAGATACGACAGTCGCCGCGCTTGGTGGTGGCGTGGCGGATATCCGGAGCGTGGAGAGTTGGTTAGTGAAGATGGTAGGTTTGAGGCGTTTCGTGAGACAATCTGCAGGATTGTCTTTGGATGGGATCTTCACAGGATTGATGCGCTTGTGCAAGACTTGTTCATTGAAGTAATGATATCTCACGTCTATTTGCTTGGATTTGGGATGGCGTTGGATTTGTGTATGTAATGCCATGAGCGGGGGTGTGACGGAGGTAGCAGACGACTCGCCGGGCGGCGTGCCAGTGACTTTGGCATGGATCGTGGGAGTACCAATCGAGGAGACCTGTGATGAACACAAGGTCAGGCCGGGTGCTGTCGGCGAGGTATCGGAGACAGGCGATGGCTGCCGAGTAACGGGTGGAGGGCGGTAGTTTGGCCTCAGGTGGGCGCCGTGAGGAGATTACAGTGGTGTCGTATGGGGTGGGGCTGGGGTTGCAATCGTCCATGTTCAACCGTTTGAGAATTTCTGCGATGAATGCAGGTTAGCTGATGGAGATGGAGGTGGGTGAGCGGTCCAATTTCCATCCCAAAGGGTGATGAACTGGGCCAAGATTCTTGACGGTGTAACGGGAGGAGAGCTTGTTGCGGATGGCGTCGAGCAGGGGCCGGTGGTTGCTTATGGCTAGGAAGTCGTCGATGGTGATAACGAAAAGGACGAAGTGGGGGCTGCAGTTGCTTCGGAGCATGAAGGTGCAGCTGTTGCTGGTGAGGCGTCTGAAATTCCATAGGTTGAGATTGTGTGCGAGGTGCACGTATATTGTTTCTTCTGGGCCGAGGACCTCATGGAAGAATGCGGACTCTAGGTCCCAATGTTCAGCGATAAGTGGGGTGCCGCCGGTCAGGGCGAGGGCACAGCGGACAGTATCTCGGTCAGCGACGGGGCTGGAGATGTTGTCCGGG